CTCACACACACACACACACACACACACACACACACACACACACACACACACACACACACACACACACGAATTGAAAAATTCGATCCCGGATGAGCCCCCGAAAATTGTCGCGTTCGCGGCGTTACTTCCCGTGATCGCGATACTCAGCGGAGCGCTTTCGGAAAGGAAGAACACTGTTTTAGGAAAGACTTGCTTTTTATTAAACCAACGGTACAGAAACGCGTCCGGCCACCGCGGAATCTGGCCGTCAAATCTGTAAAACAGTCGGAGAACGACGCGTTGCCTCGTTTATGGGTAATATACCAGTTATCTCGTGCTCAGGACTCGTAAGCAAAGTCATAAATTGCTGGTGAGATTTTATAATTTCGGTATTCGGCAAATTGGATCGTTGACCGAATTTTCCCCAAAATGAATTTACACAAAGCTTAGCGACCGAACGTAAACCGAGATTGCGCGCGATGTTTCGCCTGTCGAGTGTGATACCCTCGGTTTCCTCATATTCCTGAAGGTAACGCTCCTTAGCATCATCGTCAGCGTCTTCTCTGCATTCGCTCGGTCAGTCGCTCGCTTCTTGTTTTAATTGCAAAAAGGTATTAATATATTCGACAAACAGTCCGCCTTGACGAGTATCGCTATCGTATCGCGCGACTTTATATATTTATTTCTAAATTTCGCTCACATGCGTCACGAGATAACCCTTCTCGACAGCTTTGCGTAATTCACAAGATACCCAGGTACCCTCGAATTCTCGATCCACCGGGTTCTCGTGAGTACACTCAACTTGTGAGAACGTTTCGCAGCAACTCCGACATAACGCAAACAATAATTTACCTTGTACGCGATACGGTAGTACCGGATGAAAGAGATCACGTGGTGGGAGTACTTTACATCGCAGGAGACCTTCGACCGAGTTGAAATTATAATTTGGTGATACCCCGATTAACGAAGAACACTCTTGCCATACGTAAATTTTAGGATGCCCGATCGGGAAAACACCGGTTTTCAATACGAAAGGATACAGAGAACATATATCGACGTAACGTATTTTTTCCGTACTTGAAACTTCGTATCGCGTGACGATATTTCCCGTGCGTCCACCATAAAACGCTTCGCGAGGATCGAAAGGAGCGTTCTTTATCAACGGATGATCCTTAAGAAAATTCTGCATTTCTCTATTATTCGAAATTTTTCGGTCGAAGGAGCACTCCCATCTCTCCATCACGTGGTAACCGCGTTTACGAAGGCGCCATGATATCGTGAGCGTCCGTTCGTAGCGCGCGTCGATCGTATCCCCGCGATTCGCAGACGAAAGCGTACTATCGCGATTTACTTTAAAGCACGAAGGGCACCCATGCCAGAAACAACCGTGAAATTGTAGCACCCAGCGTGACCCATTTTCCGTTTCGTAATATCCATCAACGGGCGTGCCATCGACTTTATATTCGCGGCCTCGCCCCGCATGGATAATGGGATGTCCGAGTTCACGTTCCATCCACACCAACCACTGCAGAGCTTTGTGCGATTGCCTGTCAACGTTTCTGTAACCGCCCGACGGAATGACTCCTATTTCCTCCTCACGCAAAAAGTTTTTACGTAAAACTCTCATGCATGTGGAAGCGATAGTCGTACATTCCTCAAACGGACACACGTTTCCACGTTCTAAAAATATTTTTCTAAAACTCATGTACGCTCGTTGAAGGATATCTACGTCGTTTCGACAATATCTGATAATTTCGCGTTGAAAGTTAAAAATATAATTTTCACGAACCATTTTCGCGTGCCATGCGTGGAACTTTTCGTGTTCTTCCGGCGACATGTGATCGGGAGAATAATATCTAGCATTGGGAATTGATCCTATATACGATTGGTTATCGATAATATTAAATAAGTGGAAAACAGCCTTTATTCGACGTATCGCTCAGACCAAAGGCCTTAGGTAAATCGGATAAATGCATCGGCATTATAATTAATGCTATCGATAAACTTCGTATGTCCGACCGTCATTACGACGATTTTTGTTCCGTTCAAAATAACGCGCGGTTCATGGGTGCTCTTCGGATTTTCTACAAAATATTTTAAGATAAATTGCGCGTCGAACGCTTTCGTATTATGCGCGATACAAATAATTTGTTTGAAACATTTTGTCGTTCGCGTTGCGAAATCGACAAATTGTTTCACGGGGTCGAGACGGAATACGAACTCGCGCATTCCGCACCATCGGCATCGCACCGTCATGTCGTCTTCGTTTGCACATGCTACACAAATTTGTTGCGCTACGCAAAGAGTCGGTACATGAATTCTCATGTTTTCGGTACCTACGAGCGTCTCGTCTTGCCGCGTTTCAAAATCGTAAAATATAAACGCGACACGACCGTTTGTTTGTTCGTTCATCGCAATGTTATCATTTTCATTTTCACACGCCTTTTTTTCTGCTCGCATTATCAGGGTACTTGTACCTTCGCCGGGATCGCTAGCTTTACGAGCAAGAGGACGCATGAAACATAGATGATTCGACGATTGTAACGAACGACATGTTTTACAAAAGACCGTGTCGCATTTATGTACCGTGTTTGCACGTATAAATCGCCCGCAATCGCTACAAATTTTAACGGAATTACATATGCTCGCGCGAGATTTCCCGTTATATGATTTTTCCGCTCGGTGACGCTCGAAACAAGAATTACCGAAAAACGTACGGTTACATGCTTCGCACCTAATTATTTCTCTATCACGATTTACGCACGGAGGTGAGGCGCGACAACGAGGGCATTTTTTTGCGCAACGATGTCCCCTATTATTTCAAAAGTCCTCGTTGCACATTTCGCAGTAACTGCCGCGCGAACCGCCTGCAGCTCTTAAATTTAATATAGGGTTATAATGACGCGAATCCTCGTAATACATTATATTTAATGTATACGAATGTTCGCGTCCGAGGGAGGCGAGTAATGTGCGACCGTCGTACCTTGGTTTTTCATCTCGGCCAAAACTACTAAAATTATAAATTATTATAGCGATATTTTCCGCGGCGAGAAACCGTTGAAAACGCTCGATTTCATTATATCCGCAACCTTCCTCGGGGATCGATACCCGCGCTCCTCGTTAACTCAATCGCCAACTCAGGCTGTAACGAAGAAGTCGCGTATCTTACGGATTCCCGTTCGTGCAATTCTCCCGTGCGCAGAGTACCACGCTCGTAGTAAATCCTTGCCGTTACGAGGGAGCGAGGAAAGCATAGATTGTCAGAATTTTTTATTTGTAAAATCGAGCGTTTCGCGACGCTTTCTCGCGTTAATTTATTTGATCCCCCGCGCCCCAAAGGTACCGCTACGTTAAAAACGCGTATGGTGAAATCCATCGCGATATCGAAACCCTCGGCGCTTTGCGCTACCGAACTCACGAGTTTCCATATGTCCTCGTGAGTCAAGTCTCGCGCCGGACGAAACGAAAGACCTGCAGGGCCATGCGATAAATTTGGCGAATCGAAGGATTTCTCCACGTAATCGCCCGGTCCGCTCAAACGTATCGCATACGCGTGGATTTCGCGAAACGCGTTTTCTAAATAATTCACGATATCGCTAGCACCCTCCGCGAGAGGACGTATCGCGAATGTCGCCTCCCTACCTAGTACTTCAAATTTTTGAAATTTACGCGAGTTTTCCGCCCGTAATACAATATAAGTGAAATTTTCACTGACCGTGTCGCTGTCGTCGACCGCGGCATCCTCGTCGGTTAACCGGTGCTCCTGCTGTTGCTGCTGCTGCTGCTGCTGGTGTTGCTGATGTTGCTGCTGCTGCTGCTGTTGGTGCTGGTGCTGTTGCTGATGTTGCTGCTGGTGATGTTGTTGAAGATCCGTCGAATGGTTCTGAAGCCGGTGTAAATAACGATCTTCTTGTTCTTCTTCTTCGCGTGAAACACCTCCTCCTGTTTGTACTGAAAATGGGAAACAAAAAATATTAATGATAAATATTTTAATTATACTCGATTTTATGTTAGCGAATAGATTCCAGCATACCAAAGGTATCTCTTACCTTGAGCAGCTTTCCTCTTCGCTTTTACAAAGCTTTTATAGAGCGTATTAATCTAGCAAAAAAACATTTAATTATAAATTTATCGGAAAGAATAAATTATCTTAAAATTTAAAAATAATATTAAATTTACCTTCATAATTTTCCGGAGAATAGCCCGTCCGTGTTTCGCATTGATGGAAAACTTCGATCTCTTCTTCTAAAAAGCCCATCGCACATTTGCTCAAAGACTCTTCTCCTGTTTTCTTCGCCATCGTCTTCTTCCTCGTCATCGTTATCGTCATCTTCTTCTCCTTCTCTATCTTCTTGTCTTTCTTCTTCGTCAATTTCTTCTCTTTCTTCATCTACATCTTCTTCTTGTTCTTCTTCGTTTTCCTCCTCCTCCTCCTCATTTTCTTCTTCTCCATATTCAGATTCATCCAGGTCGTTTGCTTGTATTAAAAAAGAAAGAAGTCATTATTATTATTATTATTATTACCTTTTTTCAAGAATTAGCTAATACGAGTTCTATAACTTTTATTATTTTAAATAATTACTCACGCGGTGTGTAAATTTCGGTGTCGGCTTCGCTCAGAGTCGGCTCCTCATCGCTATTTTCCTCCACATCTGAAACAAAATTAAGCTTTTATTAATTGAATTCGATATTCTGTGAGATAATTTTGAAAGCAATATTTGCTATTTTCTTACCTGAAACCAGATCAACCGTTGGGATACCCTCCTCCTCCTCCTCAGGTTGCACGTCTATCCGCATTCGCACTCGTCCTAAAAATTCGATATTTTAATTTAAAAATCTGAAAATTTAGAAATCTAGATTTTCAATTATATCAATTTTTTATTATTTACTCACGATCGTTTACTCCTTTCACCTCATCTTCGACGGGGCGTCTCAACCCTCGTAGTTGGTATGGATGTACAACCGCGATGTTATCTCTCGCTTAAAAAAAAATATTTAAATTTAGAATTTTTTATACCTACATATTCTAATTTCAATTACTTTATAAAATAAATATTTACCTCCTCCGGTGCACCTTGTAAAATAATCGATATGTCCGCCGGCATCATCCTCCCCCACGCCAGCCATTGCACCGGTTATGTATTCTTTTACAATATTTAAAAGTCTTTTGTCCGCGAAATATCCTAATCTGAACATAATGCTCAATAGGATTTTCGAGCACTCCGGTACGAATTTTGCAAACGTGATGTAATTTGCTTCTTCTTCATTTGTTAATAGTGAGATATAAGCACTCGCGTTTATCATCGGGTTGATATTCGCACACACGATAAAAAATCTTCTTAATTTTTTACTGAGTGCCATTTTTCACTCCTTCACTATTTTTTAGAATTAAGACAGCGAACGAATCGACGCAGAAATGTAAAAACCGGTCAAGTCACCCCGAGAAAGTATAATGTCGGAAATAGACTTTTCTATAATTCCGCACGGTATTTATACTTTGAAAATCTTACTCGCGCACTTCGAAAAGAGGGTGGCCCGCAGAAAATGCAGCGCCATTGGACAGGTCAAAATTCTCCTTAATACAGGTTACACCTTTTCTATTCTCTTACCTTTTCTATTATTCTCTCACCTTTTCTTTTCTATTTCTCTAGCTAAAACTTAGCTAAAAGAAAATCCGAGCTCCCCACTCAAGAAACATCTCTAACTCTCTTATTTTATAGTTTCTAGGATTATTATTAAAAAATATTTTGCGAAGAAGTTTTAAAAGTCTAGAAAATCTAAAGTT